AATGCCGAGAAGGTCATTTACTGTACGCGATGATAAACTGTCGAGGACGGGACCAGTTCTATCGAGAAGCTCGAAAAGCGCCAGTTCATCATCGGAAGAAAGCATTTCCATGTACTCAGATTCAAGCTCGTCTTCACAAGAAACGCCTTTCACAAGTTTCCTCGACTCTGCATGATGTTGTCTACTAGTACTTTGACTCGAGTCAGAAGAAGCATGAATTTTCCGGGTTTGGACTATAGTTTCAGTTCCTTGCCTAATGCTGCTCCATATGTCTTCCCTAGCTCGGTGACTAACCTTTCCAACGGGATTGCTGCGTGTGTTGATGACACCTTGTTTAGTATTAGTAGGTTCCTGTAGTCTGACGCTTCTTCCTTGCCCTTTGTTCTCTCGTGTCGCTGAGTACTTTGTACTTGATAATGTAGACTGCCAGTTACGACTGTCCGTGGAAGGCCTCGGAGTGCAACTAGAGAGCCTTGGAGACAAGATGCCTTGGTTATGCTTCACAAAATTGGAGTTTGACAAATCTGAAAAGCTTCTATTTGACACAAAGTTCTGAGCTATCCCCTCCACTGCATATTCTAAACTTAACACCTTCGACTGCAGAACGGACAAGCTGTTCATAACTCCTGTTGAGAATACCTGAAATTTAAACAAAGAAAAAACCTAAATTTGCAATGTCGTGATGATTTCCTGAGAAAATAAGTGTCCTAAAATGAGAATAAAGGCAACGAATATTCATAGGATTTGTAAACTGAACACGTAAGCAGTTAGTGATGGCAAAAGACACTGACCTGCAGATGATCGATTAAGCTTGCCTGCTTATTCTCGATATCTGAGAGTTGTTTACGGATGGAAGCCATTTCATCGGCTATTTGGGCACAGCAATCATGATTAATTTGAGTGCTTGACACTGTCACAGTAGAGTCGAGGCTTATACGGTCCCTCAGCTTTGTTGAGAATGGCTGTTCTTCAGTATCAATTTCCTCAGCTACAAACTGCTTATTCCTTACAGCCGGCTTCATTGTAACACCCGGGGGAAAACTGCTGGAAGACACTGTCATAGACTTGATATCTTCATCTTCATTGACATTGTTTGTAACACAAGACTCTGGCTTGTCATCCATTGGGATGTACTCATATGTCATTTCAGTTGTGCTTGCTACATCAGCCGTCTTCCTCACAAACATCTTTGTAGTGCAACTGCCCTCTGATTCCTCATTATGAATGTCAACCCTGGAGACAAGTGGAGATTTGGGGACTGCAATTTCAATCTGCCAATTGTCATGTTTGGATTTCGGGGTGTCTTCACAGTAACTTGCAGGTGCTTTTCTGGCAGAAAAAGGGATTCTGTTTCTTGCCAAATCCGTGACATATTTCTTTGACGTAGCATCCCTGAATTTGGATTCACTGGTGCTGACAGATTCATTACTTTCACGTGCTCCACCGAAACTTTCTGCAAGCAAAATGCAATCCATTCAACAGAAAGAGCATCTATTAAGTCATAGGGACAAAGCAGATATCGTTAAAGATGCAAAAATATTTGAACAAAAATTATCTGTCTAGCAAGTATTTGACCTTTTACGGAGGACCCAGTTTCAGATGGTTCAGGACTACCGGATCCATGAACTCCTTTCCAGTATTGCAGAGCAAGAACGACCGAGTCTCTCACTGGTTTCACCTGTACACAAGGCCCAAAGTTCAGATGCCTAGCTGTGTTAGAAGAACCATTAATAGGAAATCATAAACATAAGAAAAAATAACTTGAGTCCAACTTTATCAAAGCGACAGGATTCAAGGGAGCGAATGCATGAAGCCTTCAGAGGTCCAAGAAAACTTCCACCAGTAGAAGCTATTGCAGTAAGTGCAACAGCAGCAGCCTTGCGAGTTGTCCAGTCACTATTCTTAAGTGAATCTTGTAAGCTGGTCATTGCTGAGAACAGAACACTCTTTGTCGTTGCCCCACCAGCCTGGATTCAAATAAATTGCATTATTTACATTATATGACTACATCCGAGGAGAATATCACTAAAGCAAACATCAAAGGGAAAACAATTCTGCCTATCGCATGAAATACTGCAATCATCAGCCAAAACCTGAAGACTCTTCATGCAGGAACATATAATTTCAAACAAGTTCTCACAAATTATCAAAGACTGGAGTATTCATCTCTTCCTAATCTCAGTCATTGGAGGGGGCATGATTTGTATTGAGCCTCACATGAGAACATCAAGGAAGGTAAAGGTTGAGAATAAATAGGGAAAAAAGGCAAGGAAATATTTGTAATCATCTTGCAATAGAATCTTTCACTCAATCTGTGCTTTAAATGGAGAGATAAAAGATGGAATGTAAACATGTGGAGGAACTAAATGACCAGACCATAAATCAATATCACAAAGATTAGAATGGTGGATTGAATGTTTCTAAATGCAGACAGAATACATTGTGTAGGAATTAGATTGAATAATGCACTAGAGCTAGGAGATGACCTGGATAATACTTCTGTTAAGCTCAATGACTGCTGGTTTTGCCATGAAATGTGGGTTATTCAGCAGTTTTACTGTCCGGGTTAACATGCGTTGAAGAAGTGGAACCGGGGGATCAGGAGTGTTATCCATGACTCTTGCCAAGCATAAGGCTGAACCTGACTGTATGTACTTATTTTGTTCACCAATAGCTTCAAAAAGTGGTTTCACAAGAGAAATGAATACCCCATAGTTCTGGTCTTCATAGCAACTCATTTTCGAAGCCAAGACACCCATTGTTTCGACACAAGCATCTCTCACAATTGAATCCGGATCCTTGAGCCGCTTAACAATGCTCGAAACCATCTTACCCAGATATGGTCCAACAAGCCCTTCATGAAACCTAGCTAATGTACCCATCAATCTGATGCATTCTTTTCGAACTGCGCTCTTCTGCTCTGGATCAATGTCCAGTATACAAGACAGGAAAGACGAAACTTTATCAGGGGCAAGATGTTCGACTGTTTTCTCAAGCTCCTCAACTCCTATTTGATATGTATCTCTATCCGCAAGCTTGTTTAAGGCAAGGACGACCTTGTTCTTTAACTCAAAAATCATCTGCTGCGTGTTAAGTCTCGTGTTTCCTCCTCTTACTCTGGTCTGCATATTGGCCTTCATAGTCATACGTAAAGCCGCAGTCTCTAGATTGAATCACAAGACAAGTACACTATTCTATTATTTACACACTGGTCTTGAGCTCAGAAGATCTCCTATTTGAGCCATACGTTCAGAAACAAGAACCTGCGAGAACGAAATTATAATTTCTCTTTACTCAGCCTACCAACTCCTCACATACAAGTATTCATGTGTGTATAATCCAATTCGATCAAGGAGAAAAAGCAACAAAAATATTGTGCTCATAGCAATGCAAACATCTGATTGCATTCGACAGAACCAAAACATGTGAAGATAATTTCGTGAGGCACCTAAATTAACTACACAAGTACACCGAACTGATTATATCTCAAGAAAGGTTGTAAAGTGTTCTTCGCCAATTTCTTCATTTTTTCCTCCCTAAGTCCTACGCATTCGAAACTTAAAATCCAGATTCTACGTTTGATGGAGGCAAAAATTAACAAATCAACATTCGACTCATTCTCGAGGTAGAATATTGTCCTTCTCAGATCCAGAGGAAGAAAAAACAAGGATCCGTTCCGATATTTTTCTTCGAATCACTTCATTTTCATGGAAAACAGAAAGCAAGAGCTCAATAGAAACAAAACAAAAGGGAAAAACAACGCAGAGAAGTGAAGAGCAGCGAAAAAAAAAAACATAAGCAAACAAGGCCAAAGAGGCAGCAAAACTTACACTGAAGCAATACGGCATTGCGAGGACGGTGAACACTGAACACGGTTCACATTCTGTTTGGTTTCCGAGAAAGTGAAGGAATCTCTACGGGAAAAAAAATACATCCAAAAGGAAACTGAGTGCAAGTGAGAGAAAATGCAGAGAGAAAAAAATTCAAAATAAAGTAAAAACGAACTCACAGTTTCTTCACGAAGCCCGGTAACACTTTGCAGAGGCGAACTTCGAGAGAGAGAGGCGCGTGTGATGCAGTTTCCTATGGAGATATTTTTATTTTATTTCTCTGTTTAATTTTTAAATCTCGCGCTCGCTGCGCGGTTTTCGAATTTTAGACACATACATACATACATACATACATACATACATACATACATATATATATGTATTAAAGAGAAAGTTTGACCGAATAAATTCTGAGCTTGACACGTGTATGAAAGGGATTGGGTGTTCAGGCCCACGAGGAAGTTCAAATTCAACATTTTTTTTATTCATTTTTTATTTCTTTGAAATTCAAATCTAAAAATAATGACCCATTCGAGTTCAAGAGATCTTAAGCTTTGAAAAAAAAAATGGTAAGGTACAGGAGCGGTAGTTAATTCGAATCGAATAACGGAATATATTATTTTTAATCAATTTATTCTAACCCGAATTAAATGCATAATAAATTAAAAATAGACTGGAATTTTTCATTAAAAATAAAGATTCTTCTAGTAAAAGTAACTTCAGAATCTAAATTAAAATTCTTCTAATGGGTATATTGTTAATATAGGTAAAACCGTAATAAATATTTTATTAGAAAAATGAGAACAGTAAGAATTTATGTACTACAGTCCATCAAAATATAGAATTTACATTCTCTATATTTTCTAATTCGTCCATAAAAATATAGAAAATTAACTTAATGATAACTTTATGGCATCTACATATTTAAATATTACTCTTATTGATTATATATTTTGGACCCATGTTACTCTTATCAAACATTACTCGTTAATGATAATGGTATGGACATTATATTTTGGATCCCATATTTATTGATCGATCACATAATGTTTTATCAATATGAGAGTATTAGATTAAGATAACGGAAATTTTGATACTCAAATATATTGTAATCGAAAGTTGTTAAACTACTATTTCGTTACTGTTTTTTTAATAAATTTAAAAGAATAACATAAGCTCATCTATCTATAAATTATAATGTCTCTCATTCAACTCCGACCCTCGTTCTTGCTCGTCCTTGCCCTCGATTTCGAGCTCTCTTACTCTCAACTTTCGCTCTCCCGTAGTGATGTCAAATGGGTGAACCCAATCCATTTGGGTTCAATCCATTTAAATCTAAAGAATTAACGGGTTGGGTTGGATCGATCTAATAATAATAGATTGGATCGAGTCGATCTATTAAATCTGTTTAAATCCATTTAACCCATTTACATACTATTTCTATACATATATAGTTATAAATATATATACACGTATAAAATAAGAGTGGGCATTTGAGTATTCTACTCTATAAAAATATATACTAATTGATTATTATATATTATATTAATTTCAATTTTTATTAAGAAAAATATATATTTTCTTAAGGCATTATTGATTTTTTTAGATTTTTTAATTTTCGGTTTGATTTCGGTCTGAAATTAAGGATTCGATATACAATATCAAAATCTAGAATCAAATTTAGATATTTTAAATTATCACGGATATTCCCTCCGTTTAGTTTTACAAAACGTTTTAAGTTTAAACATAAATATTAAAAAATCTAAAATATCATTATTTATTGTGTAGAGAATTATTATCTTAAAATATTTAACTATTATTAATAAAGAGTAAATTTGGAAAATGTAAAGTTTTTCCAAAATAACGGAAGATATGTAAAATTAAATGGAGAGAATATTAGATTTTATAGGTATTTGGGTTCATAAATAATGTGCGTAGCTTGTGATTGTATACAAAAGTTTTTTCATTCCACATTTTTTGTTTGTTTTCAAGTTTCTAGAAAAGGGTACGTTTTTAGGTTCTCACGATGTGGATAAAAAGGTAAAATAGAATGCCGTTTTTTTACCCGAAATGAATTATTCGGTCGAAGAAAAAATATTACGAAAAAAAACTTCGTTTCTGTCGGGACCAATTACTCGGTTGAGAAACGTTATCATACAAACTTTTTTTTTTCGTTATTATTTTTGTATTCTATTCAAATATACATTATTTTTTATATATTATCTATTAAATTTTTGTTTTTGACACTATGGTTACCCCCTCAATAATTTTTTTTCGGATTCAGAGTACTAAAATTTTAAACACTTGAAAGAATTTTAAACAAAGCAAAGGAAAATCCTCGTTACCAATATTTTTCATGACATATAAAGTACTACGCATTTTCGTGTCTTCATATCTCGAGCTTTTTTTCTCGTAAGAGAAAAATTATGCTTTTCGTTTTTTCCCAAGAAAATCTCTCTTTCCCGAGGAAATACACGCCATTAGAGGCACGACACCAGGGAGGATAATTAACAATTGCAGAAACATTGATTTCTCACGAGTTCCTAAACAATGGACAAATTATATCTAGTTGACCTGCTCGTCTCTGTAAACCGAACTAAACCGACTTCGGTTTGGAAAATTTGCAGCATTTCTTGGAACCCAAATGAGCCGAAACCGAAACCCAACTGAAACTAGAAAACCAGAATGAATAAAAACTTCTCTGTCGGAAAATGAGAAAAAAATTCCGATTCAACCAAAACTGGACCACATACTATATTCCATTTCGAGCCGGTTAACTCCAATAACGAATACTGAAAACCGAAACCGAATTGTCCATCCCCATCAACCTAAACCGTATCAAAAACCAAGATTTCAACTTATTGTTGCAAAGAAAGTCACAAACTATTCTGCAAAAACAAATATCTAATGACCAAATCCACACAGAAAAAAGAAACTATGATCAAACACAGAACAGTTTGGTTTCTGACACAAACTTCTATGGCTTGGGTTTCGGGTTTCGGATTTCGAAGTTAAAAGCAAGTTCACTAACACATTGGAAAACTACCTCGAGGAATTATCGGTTGTCGTTGGCACGACTAAGCTGCTTGCAAGACCTGAGATCGGTACTCTCCCAATGCCCATATGGGGAAAATGTTTCTATAAGCTGCATAAGTTATCATGCAATTCTTATTGAAGACACCCATGATCTCCTGCAACATGCAACATATATATTTGATTTGTGATTTTGCATTTGTTGATTCTGCATTGTATTAAGATTGGAGATAACCTGGGGAAATACAATTAATTCACAGGTTTATAATCAAAGGAGCTTATCCAAAGACTGTGTCAGAGAATCTCACCTGTTGCGGGAAATCGCCATTCTCCAACTGGGAATTAATCAAGTATCTTGCAGCCCGATGTAACGGTTTCGGGTCCCGTTCATGCTGTTCATATGATTATATAACAAACACAAAAAAAAAAAAAGAAAAAAAAAGATAAGAAACAAAATGAGAGATTTACAGTATAAGAATGTAAACGTCTTACCTGCCCAGCACCAATAAGTGTGAGCATAGCCCATCCTGTGTTCACAACATGCGACCTGTTGCCTTTGAGTTTTGTGTATACCTATCAAAATAGACAGATAACCATTAAACAATGAACAAGACACAGACCCGTTAATACATCGCCTGATGGAAAAGGGTATCTGCATTCTGGTCGAATTTTGTAATATGCACAAAGTCAGTAAGTTTATGGAACAAGTTAATCTGGTTTCATTTCTCGTCTATCTCTAAAAGAATTTGTGTCTGAATCACAAAACTTGCTAAACCTTTTTCCATATGGTTAGACTACATACATTACAGGTAAATATTGATTATCTTTCCACAGTGAAGCCTAGCTCCCCCACTGTGTTTTGATTTAATCCAGGTTTTGAACTGATAAAATTCCTGCTTTTTTATGGCCTGGACAAGTTTCCCACAATCATTTCCTTAATCAAGGTAATGGGATTTGATATATCTCTGGTACCACTAGACAAAATAAAATACAGGAAACGAACATCCATAACTCATCGGTCTTTCACATATTAAGAGAAGGAAAAATAAACAAAAGAGGACAGAAGCTTCTGCAATATTGAAAAAACTAACCTTGTCTTGACATGAAAGATAGCTTTCTCCCCATCCTCCGGAAGGAAGTTGTTTCGACAATAGAAACTCACAAGCTTTGCGGATGCTTGCAGAGTTGCTAAAGGTTTTTCCGGTGGCTACCAGTCCTTTCACTCCAAACCATATAGCATATGTGAAGCAAACAGCCCATGATCCATACCTAAACAAATTCCACAGGTTTGAGGTTTAAAGGAAACTCTCACAGCCGATAATCAACAAGAAATTTTTATTCTGCTGACACGGGACCACAGAATAAACTATCTATTTAGTATATCCCAAGATAAGAGAAAATATAATCCAGAGAATAATTTTCTAGTAAGTGGCTAACAACAAACCATGAGCCATCTGGTGCTTGACTAGATTCAATGAACTTGGCTGCCTTCTTGATGCATTGATCTACTTCTTTCTGCCGATGTCCAGGATACAACTTCTTGAATGATGTCAAAGCTTGAATAGCTGCTGAGGTACATTCCACATAACTATAAAAACCATTCTAGCCCGAGTCAAGCAACATTATCGAAACAATAAAAAAAGATAAATCAGAGGATCTGATGGAAGATTCTGGTGACTTACGGGTAATCAATTACAATGTCGCCAAATGTTTCTGCTGGGTTAATTAGCTGCCACCATAGAAGCAAAGTGTAAGATATAAGAGAACTTGGAGAATTCAATACATCCAAGCACATACTAATACTTGAAAGAACGTGAATGTATTCACCCTTGTAAATTCCTATATTTCAGAAAGCTTGGGAACACAACCGAGTTATATGCATGCAGACACTACCTCTAACCAAGGGTATGACCTTGTGAGCTCATATGTTGCAAAGCCTCCATCTGCATTCTGAAATCACATATTAGACTGCTAATCAGATGTCGTGAAATTCTAGCTTTCATTGAACAAATTATTAGGAAAGAGGAAAGCCAACAGAACTTGAAGAAAGCACATGATCAATCCAATACTCTCAAACATGGTTCATTTCATAACTATCTTGTAATTTGAATTTCATTTGCCTATTCCAATCTCGAATTAGACATAGAATATGCTTGTTCAACATGCTCTGTACATAATCTGCTGTAATCCCAAGCAGACTACACATATCAATGGATATCTAAAAATGAAATTTTAAAACCGACCCAATTTTTACCTGAAGCGAAAGAATAACATTTACAGCATCATATAACCGCTTTGCCTCTACTGGTTCACCAACAATCTCTGGAGAAACTTTTGATAGTAAAAGAGCAGCCTAAAAAGAAAATACAAATTCATTACCAGCGGCAAAAGACGCGTGGAAAGTTACTTTATCAGATTAATTTACTTTTAGTCCTTCTGATGTGCAATCAGAGATAGGCCACCCGTGATCCGCTGTCGAGAAAGGCCAAGCACCCTTAGAAATGTGGCGATACCAGTAACTAAGATCTCCAGGGCAATCCTCTAATACCTATTCCACAAGAGAAGTAACGATAACAGAGAGAAACATACTGAACCTCAATGAGCAGCGAGCTGATCTTCATCTAGTGGAAATGACAAACCTGAGACTTCTTGATATACGAATTTGCTTTCTTCAAAACGTCCCCATATTCTTCAACAAAGTTGGTCGCAAAAATTGCTTGAATTGCAAAAGCTGTATCCCATAGTTGACTTCCGTTATAACCCTGTCAATATTTGTTTCATTTGAGAGTTCATCCCATATACCCTTGACGCATTGATCAAAGAAGCAGATAATATTCTGCTGGTCCTTAAGGTAAACCAAATACCATTAAAGAAAAGAAAGAATGGAATTGGTACCTGCATTTTCATACCATCTTCTGCTACCCAGAGATAGTCATGGATTCTTGGTAGGTGTAACTTAAAAGCCTCTGAGTTTGGGTCCTCTACCCAGCAGCAAAGCATATTTAATACCTGAGATGACAACGCAGACAAGGCAACAAGAAAGTATAAGAACTAATATGAACAAAGATAGTAAGAAGTTTAACTAGCTCCAAAATGAACATCAGAGGGTAAATAAATAACAAGAATTTAGAAGGGAGGAACGATACAAAAACAATAGGAGAAGAATCTCCAAAACGGAAATTAACTATATTCAGAGATCGAAAGTAAGCTAACAATATGTAAGGAGGCCAACAAGACAATAAGATAAAAGGGTTTTGACTATGAGGGAATTTCTCAGTGGACTACATAACACCTAAACACCTATGACTCAGTAACAAATATGAAATGGCCACTTGCAAGCATTAGAATATAATTGTGTAATGTTGAGACTATTTTAACCGCAGACCTTGTTCACAAGTCCTGTGCAGATATATATTCTATTCTTAGGAACAGATGTGAAATGGTCACGTGAAAGCATTTGAACAGAAACGTGTAGTGTTGAGAAAATTTTCAACCACGGACCTTGTTCACAGGTCCTATGCAGATATATCTTGTATTCTCGTCTTCATAATGTATGTGTTCTATTGCAGTCCTTAGAGCCTTTTCCCTCAACTTTGTAACAGGCCATCGCATTAGAATCGGTTCAACAACCTTATGTAGCGATGCCCAGAGAATATCTTGGACAACTGGGTGTGGGTAGTATAAATCCTCCTGCAATATAGACATCATTTTCAGCTTGAAACAAATTGCCTCTTGATCTTGTACTCATGAATTTCTGTAAGGGTGGCATCATTCAGAACACGTAAACCAGAAACATAGATCTCCTTGTGAATCGTAGATGCTTCAGATGACTATCTATCCAGTTAAATCATTATCTACAAATAATTTCGGAATTTCAGAGTCTAAATAAAACATCTAATTGTTTGTAAGGACATGTATGAGCAGAGTCCACATGTATCAGTTGTTTGATGCTAGGTACAATACAAATAAAAATTTAGCTCATCGATATCACCAACCTTTGCACAAAGGTTCCGTGCCTTATTCCAGTCAACTTCATGATATGGCACAGTGAAAAGCTCCTTTCTCAGTGAAAGAACAGTTGGTGTTATAGGGCCAACAAATCTCTTTCCATACAGATAAGACATAGGCAGGTAGACCATCCGACAGTGGCACCACATCCTTCCTGGAGCAGAAAGAATTATGTATTATCATACATGTGTCCATCTGTGCTAGATACATAAAAATCTACAGGCTCAGATATAAATATCAGAAATAGATACAGTCCACAAATATTCGCCAAATCGAAGAAAATCTTATCCTTCTTTTTTAATGCAAATACGTTATCACAGAGCAAAACTTGATAACAATACAGAGCAGCAAAGATTTTGAAATTCCGTAAACAAAGAATTTTAGGTAACACACTGCATTCTCATCCACTTTTCCAAGCAGAATATTTATGGAACCCAAGTAACATGATTTGAACCTTCAGAACCTTAAGGGAAAAGAAAACAGATACGAACATGATTAAAACCACATCCGAAGGAAGAAGAGCCATAAACTTCCATGCCAAGGAATATGATAAAGGAAGGAATGATCCAGATGTGACTTCTGAATTTCTTTTCTTTCTTATTGCTCTAGACTAATTATTAGCCATTAAACCAAGAGCACAAGATGCCAAGCACCATGTGGTACTTGTAGTTAGTTAATAATGACGATTCTCTGAAAGACTTAGAACAGAATGTCCTTAAGCAGTGTCACAATCTTATGAGTGTTATGCAGCATGAAAATTTGATCCAACATATTTAACTAATTGCAATCACCTGGATGGATTGGCAATATATATGGAAGAAGCCATATCTCAGGTGGAAGGGGATTATTTCCAGACCATTCAAAAACTCCAAGTACCTATTACGAGCAGTACAACGGGAGTCATGCAAAAAGATGAACCAAAAAAGAGAAATGATGAACAGACTTTAACCTAAAAGGACATAGAGGGGTCAAGATTTCAGTACTGTAAGCCACATCTTTCCCCATGACGTGATATAGGTAGCACCTCCATGATTTAATATCCAATCTCGTCCTTTCTCCATAGCTCCATCTCCATCATTAGGCCCTTCACCAAGTAACCTCATGGTAACATAGTTCAATACAGAACCAAACATGGTGCTGGGCCCCTCAATGTGTAAACCCCACCCTCCATCCTCATTCTGCATATATATTGCTTATAATTAGAAAAGACGATCTGAAGAAAGGTAGACAGAACTCTTAGAAACATAGAGAATGGTGTGTTCAACTATTTTTGAATGAACAGAACGTACCTTCAGAAAACATAAAATTGAATAAAAACCAAATAAACCTTGCAAGAAAAATGAAATTATCTTCTAATATGCTGAAGATATTAAAAACGTTCTTGCCTGATGATTATAGAGATATCGGCACATTTCTTGTTTGTGTTGTTCTGATAATACTGCATTCAGTGCTCCGGTTATAGAAAGAGCAATTACCTGGAAGGTTTTAACAACAGAATTATTTTTTCTCATAGGCAATGAATACTTAAAAAAAGAAACCTGGGGATATAAAGTTTAATCAGGACAAGCAAGAAAAGCATAATTAGAAATAGTAAGAAAAAAATGGAAAATGTGTCTTGATATAAAATTTCTACAGTATAGAACGAACTAACCAGCCCTGGGAGAAGAAACATAGGACCGCCGTAATCTCCTGGCCAGTGCCCGTCGTGCGCCTGTATTGTTGAATGGAAATTTAGAGCCCTTCTCAATGTATTTGCCACCATCTCCTCCGAAATGTCATCAGTATCTTTGACTTCGACTTGAGGTAAAACTTGACGAACAGGGTTTTCTCTAGAAAACTACAAAAATACAAACGAATTTCCAGATTTAGAAGATAAATTTCAAAGTAAATGAATGCTTAATATAAGAGAGTGAAGCCAACATAGAAAATGAATGCCTAAGGAATGTTATATATAAGCCCTTGATGGCAATATCAATGGATCACCAAAGGATGTCAACAAATCCCTGAAAGACAAGTCCTCCATAAAACAAAGTCACACAACTGCAAACTACACAGAGTTAACAGATTATGCCAGTTAGAAAGACAAGTCCTCCAAGGAATCCCACTAAATTCACTCACATGTTCAGGTCTCAATTAGGGAATGAACAATTGGTACAGATCCATCAGTTCTAGATATGTTGGCAGAAGTACGAATACAGCCCAGAGTTGCACCAAACCATCCTCTCTTTAGCTTGAAATCATCCTTACTTTTGCTTTCTCACTTCTAAAGGTGAAAACGCAAAAGTTAAGCGAGACTACTGTTACAGGATAACTTGCCAAAACTGATGTCAGGCATAGCTAGTTTTAGAGGTATAAGATATACCAGGAAGTTGTGAACTGGAAAAGAAAAAAAATACAGGCAGCTAATTTAAGAGATGGTTTTACTAGAAAACATACAACATATTCACCTGAATCCTTTTTCAACCACTGGATTTAGTTGCTTTTCTCACAGTTTTCTTAAAGCAGCTTCAAAAGAAAAAACAGTAAAAAATCCCTACCCGCCCATCTGATTTGTAAATCAGTTTCGCATACCAATCGATGGAGCATGCTCGAGATTAAGAAAAGGGGAAAAATCATAATTCTGCAACCTGGCTAATGCAACATACTGAATTTCTCTGTCCAACCAAACGGTAGATACCACGTTCCAGTAAAGCAAAGTTACCATAATCCTGAAAAGTCCAGTTAATTTCCGAAGAAATATTGCATTTCCATTGGTGATTAACTAGGGACTACTAAGCACTACACCTTTTGGCTTCGGTCATACTTTATTTTCTACCTTATTCTAGTTGATGGTTGTGAATAGACAAAAAACGTAGCTTTTGTAAGTCAAATCTGTCCTCGTAACGCCTTGAAGGTCAATTGATTGACTTCAAACTCAAGAGAAGCTCGACTTCTCTCTCTCCCTCTCCCAAAACCGATGTACGTATGCATATATGTACGTATATAGAGTATGCACATGCATGTAAATATATTTTACAATTCTTGTATTTTTTTTATGATCATATCACATTCCTTGTAAACCAGAGCAAGCAACACCATTTGAAGAAAGAGTACTGAGCTGGTCAACGGCAAACCGCAAATTAGCCGAATTTAGTTCAAAACATTAGAATTCCCTTCTCAGGGAGACAAAAACAAAACAAAAAACCAGACAATTGTTAAGGATGTCCCTGAAAATGAAAAACCTTCGTCGGCTAAGCAAAGATTTACACTTCACATCGAATTTCACGAATCCCATAAATCTACACATTTCAAAGATCGTTACAAAAAAAAAACACATTTCAAAGATTCACGTAATCACACTGACTAATACGATCCTCCGCGTTCCACTGTGTTTCGTCACGATTAAACACACAAAAAAAAAATGCGATTGAAAGTACCTGAAGACGCATAAGCAGATCGGAGCTGTGCTTATGCACAAATCGATTCTCCGCGAACGATTTTCGCGCTTCCTCGATCTCGGCGAGCTCCTCAGGAGTCCCGAGCCTCGGATCGAACTCCCAGACTTGTCTTCCGACATGATTGTTCGTCGTTCTCAGCCATGGACTACCTCCCTCCGCAAATTTAAGCTTCCACATTTTGCTCTACACAGAAGTAGAAAAACAATGAAAGAAGCGGTGAAAATCAGTACGAGCGGCCAAAATGCCGACCGATCGGATGAATTCAGATGGATTTTCCGCCACAGATTATCCCTGGAGACGAACAAAGGAATCAATCTTTACCCGATTTCACGGCGATCGAAGAGAATAGAGGATCAGCAGAAGAGTGGAGGAACCAGTCTGGACGGAGAACACGAAGAATATCGATTACCAGAGATATGAGATCGTGGAGCCCAACGTTCGGTTGGAAAATTAAAAAGGAAAAAAATGATTTCAAACCTTTATTTTATTGCAGAAATATTTTACCACCGAAATATTTTCTGGACGGTTAATTTCTTAAATTACTCGAAACCTATTTTAATATGAATAAATATTAACAATATTTGATTTAAAATAACAAAATTGATCAAATAATAATAATAATAATAATATATTCAATTCAAAATTTAAATAAAATGTAATTTTTTACAAAATATAAATTCGAGTTTGATTGGGGTGATAATTTATTAAGAATTGTCACTAGTCCTAATCAAATAATTTTATAAATCATCTTAGTTCTATATATCCAAAATTTCAATTCTATATCTTTACAGATTTTATAAATCACCTTTGACTCTTTCAATCCTCAATTATATTTATATAGGTTAGAATTTCAAATTTTATGAATTTAAAATTCATTTAAACTAAAATCGGGTAACCCAATCCAAATTAAAAACACGTTGATATCATTTTGCGGACTAATCCAACACTTGTCCCGAGGGAATCAAATCAATGTAAAAAATCTATATATATTAATAAAGAAGTTTAAAGGCATATGGTGAGGACACCTCATCATCCACATCATCATCTATGTGGCATTTATTTTAATTTTTATTTGTCATTCTAAATCTCATTAACTACATATAAATTTATTGTATACAATTCTATATATTTAAGTCTTAGTTTTATTTATATTTTTGAATTTTATTTGATGAATATAATGCTAACAGTAAATCGTGAGTTTTTTATAAACAATAAATCATGTGGTTATTCTCAAACTAGAATTGAAGCAAATTACAAATCAGTTAAATAACAATTGAAATATGTTTATTTACAAATTCGCTTTTATTTTAGACAACTTTTATTTGTGTTTATTTAAAAATTCGCTTTTATTTTAGACAACTTTTATTTATTATTTTCCACAGTTTACAAAATTATTGTATAAAAAATATATTTAAATGATACATACACTAATAAAAAAGATTTGTTTTCATATCATATGTTAATAGCGATGCCATTTAATGCTATTGACTTAAGAATATAAAATAAAAACTATAATTAAATAATAGTCTTTTTAATGCATTTAAAACTGCCAAGTAAATGATGATATTCAATATGTGAGCTATCTCATACGTTGGGAGAGGTTACAACCCCACTAAGCCCACTTCTGTCAGAAGATGTAACATTTGACAGGGAGAATCAAACGTTAATGATTTAAAAGTTTAAAACGGTCATATTGCGAAATTATTTAATGCTAATGGTTTAAAAGCACCGCATAAAATATCAACAATATAATTAAATACCAAATTTTATGATCATTGAAAAAGGTTTAAAAGGTTAGGGCCATGAGACGCTTCATTTTATACAATAAATTTAACGTTCATATAATTAATTATATTTTTTATTATTTAGAAATAAATAATCAGCTTAAATGTTACCCACGTTGCTTTGGGAAAATTGGATTTACCTAAACATTCGTTTTGAAAAAGTTTTCTCATAGAATCCTATTGCTCTCTTTTTTTTTTCCTGGATACATAATGTATTTTTAATCTTTCCTAATGTTGAGTTTTTCATATTTGAAGCATTTCTTTTTCTCTACAATTATTAGAATTTGTTGAAAATTGCAATCAATTTTATTTTTTTGAAAATGGCGCATCTGTCTTTAGGCTCCATTTCTCATACTTGATATTCACCATTACAGAGATGATAACCGTTGGTCATTTGGTTCAAGTCTTTGGTTCAAAGTATGAGTTACTCCGGAGGTTACAGAAAGAAGTTATCATATCAGTTTTTTGTGACGATTTTGGTGGTTTATTAACCATTAGTTTGTATATAAAAACAAATGTAGGCTCGCATTTCTGGTATGTTTTCTAATTTGTAGAAGTATGATGTTTTTTCCTTATTCAATGTACATTTTGTTTTTTAATTAGAAAAAAATCTCTCGTACAAATACTTTCTATTTTTTTTAGTTGTAAGTTAAGTTAACCAGAAAAGAGCGAAGAAATAAAAAAAATATAAAACGTAATTTTTATTGAGTACGGAGTAATTTTGTTTTTATAGAAAGGGATATAAGGAAATTTGACACAAGCACATTAGCAGATCTTGTATATGCTATATAGTTCATAAAACATGGCATGTTTGAATAAATTATTATTTATATGTGCACAAATCTTAGTTCAAGTTATTAGATGATATATCATATATAATATGTATGTGTATATAATAAGTGCATATATATATATATATATATATCTAATTCATAATAGTTTCGACAATTTGATTGTGAAAATGTTTTGTTTAGACAATTTGATCGTGAAAATAGTTCCGGTGGCGCCTTCCATCATCTATTTCCTCAATCTCCATGGCTATGTTCTCATCAATCGTCTCTACCACGATAGCGGTGGATGAGATTTCTTCAATTTTTTTATTTCCACTCGGTTAATTTATATGCTTGAATCATTATTTTGTTTTAATTGTGGTTGTCATGTATTTCTCCTCTAAGTGCTACTGTTTAGGGTTTTGTTTTGTACAAATGTGTTTTTAATTGTTAAGATTATGAGCTTCAGCTTCTTGATTTGATTGTACGGAAAACATATATGTTGGAAAGTTTCTTTCCGATCGAATTGTATTGCTCCCACGGTGGTTTTTGGCAAGAAAATTGACCAATTCTTGCTGATTGTCGGCCCATTTCCTATAAACCCATATATATATATATATATTTTTCAATCGTTGGATTCTTTTAAGGCTTTATAATGGTTTAGCTTACTTAAGTTTTATATAGGAACACAATGGACAGGAGAGGAGCATAGGATGTTCTTATTGGCTTTATAGAAGCTAGGAAAAGGCGATTGGCATGGTATTTCCAGAAACTATGTGACTACAAGGACGCCGATACAGGTTGCGAGCCATGCTCGGAAATACTTCATGAGACAGTCCAATGTGTCTCGCCGTAAATAACGTTCAAGTCTATTTGATATAGTTCCAGGTTCGGTTAGTAGTACATAACTTTTATCTTCTCTAAAGAAAAAAAAACCTGGTTTGAGTGGTTCTATTTGCATATTCTAATAATGGTGGATGTATTTGGAGTTCTTTTTTGTTTGGAAAAAATAGAAAAAAAAAGAATAGAAAATAAGAACATTAGACGATGGATATAAACATTGACCATAAGTCACTGAAATGACATCATCAATAAATCACTGCAATTTTCTAAACTTAAAGTCAAAACAGTTTAGAAAATTTCAAAGGAATAGTATGTGAGTTATTCCCTCTTATGTTCATTGCTATACGCAGTAGTCATTTCTGAAGATTCAGATTTCTTCTTCCTTTTTGTCCCTTTGTCAACTTCGATTGGCGTCCTTGGACAAAAAAACTGCGAAAAAGGATTTTTAAAAACTGTAATTGTGGAGAAATATTGATTAATAACGATTCCCCAAAACTGTTAACGATTCATTTTAAAATATAATTAATAACGATTCATTGTTAGTTGTTTTTACCACCAATTGTGAGTTTTGATCCAAAAAAATAGAAGACCTCGAATTTCATCAAATCACAACAGAACAAAACAAATCCTTAAAAAATAAAATTGATATATTTTCCTTTGTAATAAAAATATTTGGTCATAATAGAATGAACAAATTAAATTTACGAGTCGTGTCATTAATCATGTAGCTACTAAAATGGTTGTGGAGGTAAAACCATCAATGAAGAACTGTATGAAGAAGATGATGATGCCAATCACGGAGCTACTAAAATGCTGGAAGAGGCGAAAGATCAGATGAGGCATATATCTGTGAATGTGAACAATGCGACGAGTTGCTAGAATATTATATATATGTATAATATTTGTATGGATGTATATATATGTATATATTTCTATTTTAAATTTTTTTATTTGCATGTATATATTTGTATATGTATAAATGTATTTTTTATTTTTTATTTTAATTTTAAATTTGTGTATAGGTATGTATATATGTATACATGATTATATGGATGTATGTGTGTATATATATATATGTACATATACATGTAAATATATATGTATATAGATGTATTTGTGTGTATATATATATACATATTATGTATTTGTGTATACATGCATGTATATGTATATGTTGTATGTATACATGTTTATATGGATTTATATACAGATATATGTATAGAAATATTACTAATTAAAAACAAACAGTTTTGATTTTATATTCTAATTTTTTTATGTATGTATTTTTAAAATTTTATTTTAAAATTTTAATTTATATATATGTATATATTTACGTATATATATTTATGTGTATACATGTGTAATGTATTTGTGTGTGTATATATATATGTGTGTGGGAATATATGTGTATGTGTATATAAATATACCTAATTATATGGATGTATATATATATGTGTACATATACATATAAATATATATGTATATACAGATGTATTTGTAGATATATAGATATATATGTATGTATATATATATTCATATGTATTTACGTATATATGTATGTCTATATATATACATATTTGTATGTGTGTATATACACATGTTTATATGGATTTATACATAGATATATATAAATATTATTAATTAAAAATAAATAGTTTGATTTTATGTTCTCATTTAATTTTTATTTTATTTTTAAAATTTATATTTATATATTTTCATTTATACAAGAATGATCTATTACATCTACTCTCTAAGTTAATAAAAATAATGATTTTAAAACTAAAAAAAATCAAAGTAAATTATTTTGATACAAAAACAATATTGATTTAGAAAACTAAGTAAAAAGAAAACTAAATATATATATATATATATATATATATATGCCTATATACATGTATGCATGTATATATTTATATATATATGCATACGTGTGTATATGTGTATATATAACGATGTATTTATGTGTATATATAAGTATGTATATATGTATTTATGTACATCTATGAATATATATATTGTTATACGAATATATTTATGT